CTGTCGCATACAGAGTTGTTCTTTTCCTGAGCTGGTGTTAAAACATGTATTTTTGAAAAGGGAAAACTCCAGCGGCATCCTACCATGCCTGCAACACTACCAGCCACAGAAGCGTTGCAGAGACATTCAAGACAAGAAGGTATCTCTAAAACATGGAAGCAGGAGCTCCTTCTACAGCAGTGCCAAAATGTAGCTGTGAGAGAAATCAAACCTTTCTGCTAAAACATGTACTGTGTGCATTACTGCAATATTTATGTCCTCAGTCACTCCACATGGGTACCCGACGCTGGTGGGAGGCAGGTGGGGGAAGAACAGCCATACCGCTCTATGTATGTCGCACTGTGCAGTCTGTCCGTCTTCTGAAACCATCTGTCTGGATCACGTTACTGTGCGTATTTGTAGTACTGCTAACCAGTTTTTTTCTCCCTCCTTCCTCTACCACACACACTCTGTCTAGGAGACAAAATGCTACAGGAGAGAGGCATATTCCCTCACTCCATCTTTTACTTAGTATCTAAGTAAAAGGCCTTTTTTGTCTTTTATGTAGACCTAAATCTGTGGAATTCAGTAATTAATATGACCTGTGCTAATGGTGCCACTTAGAAACATCACCCTTTTATGTTAAACTTTATCGTTTCTTTATTTGTAACCTAATTCTTTTTCTTTTGTTTATTTTAGTTTTAATATGTAAGCAGCTTTTATACTACTCAGCAGCACTGAGAAGAAGGATCCTTGTTTGGCTCTTATAAGAATAAGAATTTTCAGTGAGCAGAGGGGTTTAATACTATTTAACATTTACAAATTGGGGCCTAAAGATGTAGCTAAGATAGGCTGAGCTCTGCTAGGAATTTTAAAAATAAGTAACAAATCTTAGCTGCTTTCACAGGTCATTTACAGTCTCTGAAAAAAACATAAGCCTAGAGAAACAGTGAACCATATTAGGAACAGCACAAATATAATAGTGTACATCCAGTCCAGCCTGTAGTCTGTCACAAGGGTGAGCAGCATTCTCCAAGTGTTTGGGTGTTTTTTGGCTACACTGTATAGCATAACTTTATATAACTTTGCTCAGTATGGAAATCTTAAGTCTCTGGAAGACGAGACTTATTTTTTCAGCTTTGCCATCTGCAAAAAAAAGGAACTAATGTCATCAAATTTAATGCGACATCCTGCCATGGTGAATTCACCCACTGTCTGATCAGTAAGTCTGAAAACCTGGACGCACACTGAGGGCAGAGGCTTCAGCTACACCCACATGGTGGGAATGGAAGGGAGTTATAAACCAAGCCCCTGAAATGACAATGGAGTATGTTATCTTGCAGAAAAAGCCTCTACTTGTGAAGATCAGCTGCCATAGTGATTTTCACAATTTTAGAAACCCTACTTTTGGTTCCAAGTTAATCGTGGTCCCCGGTATTTAACTTTCCTTGTTGGCGTTCACAAGAGAAATCAACTTTTAATCAGAAAGTCTGCTAGCAACAAAAATGTCTACAGCGGACACAGATTTTGTCTTTCTTCTGTTCTTTCCTGCTTTCTTTCTTGAGACGAACTGTGGTAAAATTTAGCAACAGTATTCTCTTTTCTTTAAACCACAATGTAATTTTTAGTTTTCCAGCATTTTTTTTTCTTTAACACTAATGGCTACATAGGTACAGCCAGGCTAAGACCAGGACAGTTGTCCTGTAAAATACACTGCTTGTTTTGAACAACTATTTATTTTAAGTATATGAGAGATTGTAAATCTGTCATTTATGCACAGGACTAAGCATTGACTTTCTGTCACATGCCTTGTTCTTGATTCCCTTTAGTTTCCCCTGTGGCCATGGACAGCTCTCTCTCCTATGGTTTCTATGCTACTCTTTCCTTATATACTCTTTCCTTGTAAAGGTAACATGAGAATTAATTGGAGTCAAATTCAGCTCTCATTCAGACACATTCAAGTAATTCCCTGAGTGGAACAGGAGTTATAAACATCCGTCTAGGAGGGACAAATTCAGCAAAGGGATTTTATGTGGAAAGTGCTCTGAATATGAAGAGCACGATATAAATGCTAAGCATCAATGTATTTATGACCAATGAAAGGGCTTTTATGACTATAGAACAAGCCTGAAGGTTGACTAAAGGATCTGAATTGTGGTAGCAAATAAGAAAACTTTTTCTATGGTACTTTCAGACAGACACATTGACCTTCCCTGTTTCGCCCACTCAGTACAGACTGTGTTCTCAATAACCATGCAAGCGAAAAGAGCTCCTAGAGGAGCACCGAGCACCTACAGGTTCAAACTGAAAATTGCTTAGTATGTTCTGGACTCTGAAATGAAGATTTCACCAAAAACATTTCTTAAGTAAATCTAGCCACACTTTGCAAAGAATACAAGGGCTTTTTGGAACACCTTCATCTCTTTGCACTTTGCAACTGAGGAAAAGCCACATCTGATATAATGATATCCATCCTATGAGCACTTGTTTTATACTAAAATTGCCTATAACTATATAAGACATGCATATTAGCAGATGAACTAGATTCTACATGCAGTGCCCAGATTACTACAGCCAAACACCTGCTATCTTTGAAACAAAGTGGCAAAAATCTTTTTTGATGCAAATGAGAGCAGGACCTAATAACTCGTGTATGGTGGTAAATGCCCTTACACATTAAATTGCTTTATGTTCTTGTGGTGTACTAACTTAAATTAGTGTGTCAAACAAACTGAAAAATCACTCTGATATTTTAAAATTTGATGTCTCAACTTTAAACCTTATATTTAGAAATGCTGGTGGAAACACTGGAATTTGCTCTTCCAGCAGCGGTTTCAGTCAAACCAAAGTTTTGTCAGTATTGTCATCAAAGCAACATACGTGATGGAAATACAATAAAAAGTGGTAGCATGCAGGGAGAAACCTTTTCAGCAAACTCCAAAGATGCCTCAGTGCATTTACGTACTCCATGGGTCTCAAGGATAGTATTTTGCATATCAACCATATCTATAGACAGTATTGCCAAAAGGTATTGGCAATGGACTGGAATGCTCTAATCTGTTTATACAGGTAATGTCTTTTATAATGTACGGTGTGTGCAAATGTCTCCATGTCTATGTATACTGTAAACTACCTCACTCTGCATTTTCCAGGAAAAAAAAATGGCTTAGAGGTTTCTTATTCCAAAGCTTTTTACTATTAATTTCACCTGTGTCTACCATGTTTTTTTACACTAATAAACAGTTTCTCCTTACAACAGGCAGGAGTTGGAAATTGGCTAAAAATATACATATTAAAGTATGTATTTCAAGATACTGATGAAATTTTGTCCAAATCATATTGCCTCAGTTCCTGCTTGTAATATGAACCTTTCAGGATAAGATCTTGGAGTTAAGAGCTAAAAAACTCAAACATATTATGTTTCAGTTTTTATTTTTCAATGGCTTTCCATTAATGTGTGTCTTCTCTGGAAAATAATACAATGCCACTAATCAAAGCAAAATGTATGTATGTCTGTTTCCCTTACCATCCTCATTATAATGTTAAATGTTTTGTTGAAGTAAGCCCACCTATTAGTGTATTTGTACAGTAGAATGTGCTCATTGTATTGTATCCACCTCAAAAATAAAAACAGTGCAAACAAAATAACCTCTTTGACTCCTAAAAACATATTTTTCTGACAGAAGCAGATGAAAGAAATTGGGAAAAGGGATGAATTTTAAAAGCAGCTCCTTTGTTACAACAACTGAGAAGCTGCAAAGCACTATAAACGACTGTACTCTGCTCAAGGATGGTAGTTCTTCACTCCAAGAGCAATTCTCTTCTCTCGAACAACCCAGATGCAAGGTGCAAAAGGACATTGCTTGGAATCCTGCTGCACTGAAATCAATGACAAATTTCTTCTGGGTTTCCTTGCAGCCAGTATTTTTTTAACTACCATGAAATAAGTAGAGCAATTGACCTTAAAAGGAATTCTAGGATCATAGTAAAAGCCAGAGAAAATTGTAAGAACAACTAAAAAAAAAAAAAATACTGCTAGCTTAAAGAGGCAAAAAAGGAAAGATAAGTAAAGAGCTAAACACATTCTAGATCAATATTCAAGTACCAGCCCCATCTGACAGCTGCTCAGTGATCCAGCTGATAAATGAATGCATGTCCTTGCTTGAGTGTGCACTTCCCCAGATTGGCTCAAGTGCAACTCCTGGAAACCTAATTTCTGCAAGAGGACAGTGCAGTAAGAAAAAATAAAGAGACAGAACTG